TTTCCAGATTTTTTATATTTTTTTCATGGAAAGAAATTTGATCATGGTAATATGTACCTGAAAACGATATTGAGTTACATAAAAATTTATCTGAAAATTATTAGTTCATTTTTTTGTTATTTCTGCTCATAAACAAATCAATTTATTACTAAAGAACTGTATATTTTTTTGTTAAGACATTGATATGCAAGGCCTTGCAAGGTTTAATAATGAAATAGTATTTGCACGCATGAAATTTCAAAATTTTCCTTCTGGTGATATGCATAAAAAAGATTGACAGGGACCTTTGAAATGATTGAAATTAGTGGAGTTCACTTGGGGTGAAATCAATCAAGGACTTTTGCTAAGTCAAATGGTGTGGAGAACACAACACCAGCAAAGCTGAATCATGGAGTCTCAAATTGCACGATAGAAGTGAGATAGAATTTGGGGAGCCAATCCGCTTCATTTATTTAAATTTAAGAGAGTATATGCATTTGTACATATAGTCACAGTTCTCTGATACTCCTATGCACTTCGTTGTCTATACGTGGAGGTGGTTTCTCAAGGTCCTCTGAATTTGGAGTTGCTATTGTCGTTGAGATCTACTACTATTAAACGAATCAATTAACAGTGTCGAGATGGGGGGGGGGGGTGCTGGAATCTATATTTTTAAATTATTTGAACAGATTTTAAAAGTCAAAGATAGTATAAGGAGCCAAATTTACATTCTAATTCAAACCTTGACCCTAGGTGCTATAATCTCTTTATTGGTATATTGGAGTAAACTACTAGTCTGTTTGGACAACTTTATTGCTTTTTTACCGGCTTTTGCTGTCCTTTCGTCTGGATTAATCGCTTTTAAGGTCAATCCCTGTTTGTGTAATCACATCGATGTCAGTTTTTTGCTAATCTTTCCCTAAGCTAAGCGGGCTTCCATTGGAGTTTTATTCGCAAATGAATATATAAATGAACTATTATTGTCTATTATTTGCAATTGTTATGCACTTGCTATAGCAGGTCAAATCGAAAAATCATAATTTGATGGAATTTTGAATGAATGGCTAATAGTTGCTTAATCTCAGGTTATTCCCGAGCTTGAGGAGTTTGTGAATGTTTCGCAGGCAGATCCGCAACAGCTGCAGAAAGCTTCATCCGCGTCTTAGTAATTGGGAAAATTGATATTATGCAATTTTCGAGTGGATATTACTCTACTAGGTGCAAACAATTGACTTATGCTAATCATCCCATATAATGAATCATTTTTTGCTGTTCTCTGTATTCATATAAAACAAAAGTAGATATATCCTATCAGTGAAAGGAGACTAACATCGATTTTCTTTGGTAATTGGACGAAATCATAATATGTATCGAAAATACAATTTATTTTATCATCACTGGCCTGGGCGACTGGTGTAGCGTTAGCAACTTCAGAGAGCACAGGTTCATTAACCTTCAGGAATGATCTAAGAAAGATTTGGGGGCTTCATATTCGATTTCACACTCTACGTTTATTTAGAATCAAGCTACAAGAGAGGACAATAAATCGATATGAACAATATCTTCACCACTAATATTCTAAGAGCTTATAAAGAAATATGGAAATCACGCTGAAAATGGAGAGAGGTGTAATAGGAGTGTAGCCAGCGAAATCATGTACCTCAGTGACGGGTTTAAATCACAATTGGACCCTCATAAAGAGTTAAGTGCCTACGTGAGTCTTCAATCTCGCTCTTCACCAAGCGTAGAATTTATTTCTATGGAAGTAGGAGGATATGAACATCTTAGGATGCAATTTCTCAGAAAAGGAGAAGTTTGCTTCAAAGTTATTGGCTATCATTAATGAAAATTGTGTTATACCATCTGCCAGTCAGCCCAGGGAGAAGTACAATCTTCGCCTACTTCACTCCATGCCAACAACTCACGAATGCTTTTCAACCATTTCAATTATAAATGCACATAATCGTTTTGTACAAGGAGGTAACTGCAGTAGCCACTATGATTCACCAAAACTTGGCACATTTCTCTACCGCTAATTACGTTGGAAGACTGAAAAATTGGGTATCCTTCTAACCGTTCATACCTTTCAACTCAAATGAGAATTGGTGTCAATTTAAATTTATGAGGCAAAACTTTTACACTTCAATTGACTTCCAGTCATTATAAAAGAGCACGAAAGAGAGTTGTGGAAAATTTGGTGAATGTGCTCCGAAGTCATCATTTCTTGTTTAGGCCCACTTTTCCAACGGCAATTTGTAAATACCCTAATGGTCTTTTTCTGCCTAAAATGACCACGAGAGTGGTGGGTGATGCTTTGAAAGCTGCTTGCGTTTCACTATCATATTTGACATGTTTATTTTAATGTCCACTAGTAGAACGCATACTTTTCTTTTTAATCTGAAAAGCTTGTTGAACAAGTAGTTTATCCTTTGAAAATATTGCCTATAGGCAGAATAGTCTAATTAATCTAAATGAAAGTGGATATACTGCTAAAGACCCAATAACCAAAGCTTTGAGTCGAAAATGCAACGTCCCATTTTCCCCAGTGGATGTTACTAAAATAAGCCTCAATTAAACTTGAACAGTTTCTTCTCAAATTTTGGTAAACTAAGTTAACAGTAACGAGCAGGCAGAACTATAGAGTGAGTAGGTCTGAAAGCATTTTCAAATGAAAAAAAATTGCTGATAAGGTTCCACTTTTATCAACCACTTAACCACATACCAAGGTTGAGTATTTAATATCGCTTTTCAATTTTTTCATTGCGCTTCAATCATATGACAGCCGTACGCAACATATCATATATTTTAATAAAAATAAGACACTTTTCATGTTTAAGCGTAGTCTTCAAACAAATAAAATAGTTTCAGAAGAAAATCGATGCTTAATTCAATTTTTTTTATTTTCAGCCCCACTTGCATCCCTTGAATCCATTCCGCATGAGGATCTCTCGGACAGTTCAGTGTATCGCCGTTTTTTCAGTCCTGAAGCTGATATCTCCCCCATCAAAGCCGCAGACCCTCCCATTGAGCCTCTCTCTCGAATTCCTCATACTTCTCCACCTGATTCCAAATCTCGAACATACAAATTCTCGATGGCCCTGAAGGATGCAGCTCGAATGTTCAGATTCAGTAGTACGAGCAGTCCGATTGGTCAGCAGGAGGATGCAATTACTTTGGAAGATGGAACCACGTTGAGTTCCACGTTACCTCAGGGATCAGAGTGCGTGGGAAGTCAGACGAGATTGTTCAAACAGCAAAAGAAACCAAGGAAAATCAGCGCAGCTTTAGGTGGAATGAGCAGTGGATCAAGAATTGGAAGGAAGAGCAAGAACTCAACGACATCTCAAGATACTGGCCACTGTAACGCCTTTGAGGTAGCGGTAAGTGCAATAAGGTTCATAACTGCACCAAATGACCAACGAAAAGGGTTCTTATTGATCAGAACTAGGGGTATTTCTTTACTGTGTCGGGATCTATAGACAAGCGTCAGTAGATTTCATTGAAAACAGGCTTTAGCTAGATATCATCGTTTTATTTTGTGTGCATCACTTTATTTAAATGACAAGACTACAAGGTGAAGCCATACTCATAACGTCATATCCCAGTGGGCTTTATCATGTGCTTCGACTTTGAGAGATTAGGTACGCAATTTGGTGTGAGTATGCTCTGGTTTGACTCACCCAATAAATGAGTGTAAGAGAGCGCTCGGTAATGCAATGGTTTGAGTTCAAATCTGCTCAGTGGAACGCTATGAAATTATCGTTTACCATTGGGCGTTTAGTGACGTGGGCGGTCTTCTGTAGATGTGAATTTCGATCGACAAGAGAACTGGTATAATGGGAATTTCTCCCTAGAGCTGATCGTTGTTAACGCTTCCTATAACCGACTTAACTTCCCTTTGACAGCTTCAGAAGTCTAAACTCCATCTGTGTAGGTAGATTAATTCGGTGAAGATGGACAGGCCCCTCCAATTAACTGACTAAAGCTTTGAGTTATATATTTATGAACATTTATCAAACATCTCTTCCACCCCTCCCCCCGATTTAACCGTGAATTGTAAGCTATCGGCCTTGAAATCCTTCAAGGTCTGGAATTAATTTCTGTTGTTCATAGTCTACATGTGCATCCTATTTAATTCAACACTTTGTCTTCACAGGATTCATTGAAGAAGGCTGTTTAAGGTCATTTTTAAATGGAAATTAAGATTCGAGAAAATAATTTTATCTCCGAATGTACGATTTAAACACTCCGGTAGTTGTGAAACGGCGGCCATAATAAATTCTGAGAAAATGAAGGACGAAAGAAGCACTTTTCTCGGAGCATGTTCACCTTGAACTATTTCCCAAAGGTCCCTTCTAAAGTGCTCTGATCGATTATCCGTACAACTTGCTTTCGCACCACAAAGGAGCTGCCAATTTCGGACTTTATCTCATGTATTTGCGCTTAGTTTCATCAATTTTTTCCAGTGTAATGCTTTTGGGCTGAAATTTTGTTCACCTAATGCAATTCTTTATGAAAACGGAATATTATTATTAGTGAAGTTTCGTTAGAAAGATTTCGGAAAAAAAGGCTTAACTGTTCCTTCGTTTTCTTTTCATACACAGACACTCACAGCAAACATTCGTTGATGACAGCTAATGTAAATTCCTAGATTGTGCGACTGCCAATTTTTGAAAGGTCAGAACAGCTAGATCGGGAATATCATTGCATTTGCATAAAGACACTGTGTTGGCGGTAACATTTCCTTCACACAAACCAAACGATAGTAGTACTCTCAGAATAGCAAAAACAGTAGCGGAATAGGTTACTACTTTTCAGGGAGGAATGTGATTGGTGGATGGAGTTAAGCAGCATTAGAAGAACAACACGCTTACTGTAAGGGAATGGAATTCGAGATTTAAACATGAGCTACCTCCTGTTATTTTATAGAGAAAGTGACATTAAAGCTGACCCATTAATAAATCGATACAGATAATGATCTTTTACTAATAAAGCATCTACCGGTATAAATCTGTGTGGGAAAGTAGCCTTAGTCTTCCTTAGTCTCGGGACACGAGGGTTCAATTTTGTTTGATGTTTACCGAAGAGTTGGTATTTCCTTCATTTATTTATTTATTTCAAATGGCGGACTTTATAATACTTACCATGCAAACCGGTTAATGAACTTTTTTGCCGTATGAGTATACGTTGCCCAGGGTGCACCACGTGGAGGTAAGTCTATCGCACACCCCAGTCTATCAGTGTGCGATTCAAAGATGTAAAAGAGACAGACAGACACAAAGGTAGAGAAAAGGTAAGATGGGTACTGAGGAAGGGGTCAAATATGACATACAGTCGGGTCATGATAGTTTGAAGTCAGAAGTCAACTGCTGGTTAATAGACCTTTTTGCCGTATGAGTATACGTTGCCTATTGTGCACCACGTGGAGGTAAGTCTATTGCGCACCCCCTATTTCCTTCATTCGTTAGTTTTGAACGAAAATGACACTAATCAATATTACCAAATAACAAGCAGACTACAACTTATAGCCATTTTAAGGAAATGTGGATGAATTTTGATTGAGTCCAGAATTCAATCTTAACCTCTGATGTACGAATCTAAAGCAGAACTTTGTACATCTCACTTACTATTGAAAATTTTGGAAGTTGATTTCAAATAGGAAATTTGATTGTGTTTCTAATTCGTTAAACCTATTGATCCATGAATTTTCTCATTCCTCTTTTGTCTATATCATTTTATAATTGCTATCATCTCTAATCCTTCCTCTTAAAGATCTATCTAATCTTACGTTTACTCAGACTCCGGTTTTTATGTCTCATACCTTTTTTGTAGTTTATTGGTTTTCTCAAAAATGGACAGTACAGATATCTTCTCTGCCTCTATCAGCTAAGACTTATAGGAGATGGCTTGAATCTCTGAAATTTTTAAATTCTTTCTTTTTTTCCTTTATTTATTAATTCTTGTTTTTTTTTTCCTCCAAGCAGGAGATAGAAGAAATGGAGTCATCAGTTGACAATGATCGTTTCCTTCACTCACTAGAGTCAGCAGTTTTCACTCCCTCTGTGAATTTGACTGGGGGATCTAACAACACTGTACCATCCCGCTACTCTTCTTCGTCCACCCTCAATGATGGAGATCTTGCCGAACTTAATGGACATTCAGCTGTTGGTCCCATCCACCTTTCCCTCCCCCCTGGCTCTCCCGTTATTGGTTTCGCCTACTTGGGACTGGGAGATGTTCAAGAGGAAGATGATTTTGTCCAGAGGATCGATGATAAAGGATCCCAAGAAGGTACGCCATTTGATTAAAGCCTAAGTATCCAAGTCAAATTTCAAACGCAACTATACTTTATTCCCTGAAGATGCAATTACAGTTGTGGATAGTGTGAGGGGTAGGAAAATGGCTGTGTAAACCAGAAGCTGAAAAATAAACTCGTCACGAGAATCATTTCATTTTCTGAACGACAAGTTTTGCAAATGACTAGCATTGGTGAACTGAATAGGGAGCATTTCTGGTTGCTAACATTTACCCTTCTGTTGCTACAGTACAATCAAAAACATTATTTTAGTTGATTCACTCAGGCAGGTGCACGCACAGGCCTTATTTCATAAATTGCTGTTTTGCGTGTGAAAAGGAGTAACTTGGCTAATTTAAGCTACTAAAGCCTTACCATGGCTTGTGATGATCACTTGTGGAATGTAGAAGAAATTGAGCGGTAATTTATAGATGAGCCATTTTTTACTTTGAGCAATTGAAACTAAGGAATACAGAGTTGTAATCAATTCTTTGATAGATTGCCATTTTGAAATCACATTGATTCATGATTATTGACATTCCTTAAAATGTGTGTGTGTGTGTGTGTTTAAAGGTGTAAAGAATGGCAGAAGTGTGTTTAACTTGTGTTCAAAGAAAAATTTTGAGATTTGAAGGATTTGCTCACGATAAGTAAAGACTTTTCTAAACCTTTGCCGATAGTTCTGATTCAATTGACCTTATAGATTAATCATTAGCATTTATCGTTTGACCAAAAGTTGGGCTATTTTGAAGTAGGAATGTTTTATAAATTCGTCATACCTCTAGTCGCATAATATTCAACTAACTCACAGTATAAACATTGAGTAGAAAAGGCATCCTCTCGATGAAAAAATGCTTCCTTAGAATGTTTTCATTGCAAGCTTGAAAAAATCTGGCCTTCAATGTCGGTCCAATCTTTACTGGCGTGTGTTTAAAGCTTCAAGATTTTCCTGTTCCTCTCTCTCTCTCATTGCCTACCATTCCTATTGAAGGGCGATTGCGCCCAATAAACGTAATGGATTTAAAGACATGAGCATCGTCACATCCACTATTGATTCTACCTTAGTCAAGTGGTTAAATTACCTTATTTCAAATTGGAACTTAATCCCAAAATGGTCAAAATCCAAAGTGCTGACATCACGAAGATATTGATGAGAGGTAAGTTCGAAGGGGAACTTAAAAGAACAAATTTGTGTGAGGTTGCACTCTTTATGCATATGTGAAAGGACTGCAAATGTTAGGATCGGATTTTGCTTTTGTCACGGAGCTGAAAGTAGGAATTAAGTACCTTGTTAATTAGATTATTAAATCATTTCAAGGACTCGAGATTTTTTTAAGAGAATTTTAAGGAAACAACGGTCGGTATACTCTATGAGTTGAAGGTGGCATTGATGTTTGTGGTTGCGTTTTTTTGCTCGAAATATTGTTTTGGTTTTACGTGGTTGCAAAGTAACCTTAGCTAAAGAAAATGTAAATTCTTTTATTTTACTAGCTATAAATCCCAATGGATCAGCTTCAACGGTTGGGACGGATGTGGCTCGAGCAAGCACTCCACCAGTAGATAATGAGATACGACTTCTCAATCGAAATAAGGTTATCGGTCAACCTGAACTTGATAACAATCACTATAACTCTTCAGACTCTGCAACATCAGCAACCGCTATGCTTCCCACTTCACGAGGTAATTTTTACTTATTTAAATTAAGTAGTAAATATGCGTATAATTAGATCCTTTGCTATTATTCACTATAGGGCTTGGACAGTCAATATCAGCCAGCCATATGGATCTTCGTCCTCTGAGTACAAATATGGAGACGTGGTTGGTTGCCAGTGATGAGCATTTATTAATTTCACCCACAGGAGAGGGTGCATCAAGGTTGCAGAAGGGGGCAGCTCATCCAATGCGATCGGTTTCATCTAATGATATGTATAAGAATTATATTGACTTTACTGCTCGGTGAAAATTTGCATTTTCTTCAAAAAACTGCATGGAGAAGTCAATCGAACTTTTAAAAAGTACCAGGTTACACCCTTCTTGCATTATCTGTGATGCTTCGAATTTTTCATTTGTCTGAGAGGTTCATTTCCATCTATTAAACAATCCTGCTTTGAGAAGAACATTGAACACTAATCATGTACTTTTATTGTTATTTCTGTTCTTTAAAATTCAGATGTGAAAAGATTGCCTACACAAAATATTTCGACATATATCTGACCTTTTGCTTACTCTTTGAACCGTATTTATTACATAAGATAATCAAAATAGAAATGTGAGGTGATGGTTGCCAAAAAATTAGCCTTCTATATAGGTGGCCAAAGATATTTTATTATTGCTGTTCTCAAATCGGGGCCCATAAAAATAAAGTTTGTTTGGATATATTAGATATGAACTTATATTGAAGCGCTAAGTAGAAGAGATAGCATAGAATTAAAAGTATGATAATAAGTAAATAATACAACACATGATAAATAATATGCACACTCAAACCAAACAACATAAATTAACTCTTGAAAGTTTTACTTCAAATGAAAATGGTGATAAACTTTCCATCGAGTTAAAGTTTAATTTTCTATAACTGAAACCTCTATCGAGAGCTAGGAGCAATTGGCAGCAAGTCGCTTTGAAACACTAGCTGAAAATTCGAATTTGTGAAAGCAAAAAAATAATATGTGCATTATAAATGCTTTAGGAAGGTTCCGTGCTATGGTTCTTATTTACTATTAATATTTATAAATATAAACTGGTCTAATATCGCATTAAAGTAAAGATAATTCATAAAACGATTGTAAAACTCGAAACATAGACATTCTAAATTTATAATGGGGAAACTAAAAAGTTAAATATTTTAAAATAGTAAAACCATGTGTATATTTGTTTAAACGCATCAATGTAAGCATTTTAAAGGCCATTGAAGTATGGAGCCTAGCTCAACATGTTGGGATTGAATTATTAATTTTCCCTTAAAATATTAAAAATATCCTTTCCTTTTTTCCAAAACTGAAAATGTTTCAATCAAATTTTTGATGTTTATCGACGCCGTAATTTTAACTTGAACCATGAGAAATTATATTGCCATTGTACTATTTTTCACAAGTACTATGAGATGTGAAGATTGTAAGATTTTAATTTAATTAATTAGTGATGCAGATTTGATGATGCCTAATTCATCATACTATTGCGGTCGATCACCGAGCAAAACATTTTTGAAGAATGATGACTTACTTCTTCACAATCAGATCGTTCTTTATTTTAATGCGTCCGCGGCATATAACTTAACGGCATTTCGTAGACATCCTCGATACTTTACCAGAGTTGTTTGTCCAGGGGTTTCAATCAAGCCTTCTGGACGCTATGTCCAAAACCGAGTAGACAACGGAACAGTAAGTTATTTTATTAGATTCTACACTGAGCTTATATTCGGTCATTGCAACCGCTAACTTTTTGTTTTTGATTTTCTTCTAGCAGTTATCTTCATTAGTAATTACTTGATAACTAAATATATGAACTTTGCAATAGCAAAACGAAGTGTTATTCGAACTAACTTGCAGTGTTTTATGTTACATTTTAACTTTGAATTTTTATTTTCTGGGTGATTACAAGTTACACACTTCGTGATTAATTTACAAAATCCACAGGTTTATTTCTGGCTGCTTCATGTTCGAGCGTCTCTCGAATGCCCATCTCGTCAAGCTCCCAGTTCTGCTGATTTCCAACTTCGTTTGATTCAGTGGATTGCCAGATCAGGGGCCGATTACTCTCCTAACGACATTGAAGAAGCCTATGATCGAGGTGATTCCTCACATCTACCCGGACTTAAAGTAAGCTCTTTGATAAAATTGAAATCTCAAACTATGCTATTATTCGTGTTAATTATTTATATCCTGCAGTTAATTTCACGAGCGACTTCCATTGCCACTTTCCTTAACGACAAAACGATAAAATTGTGACCCGAATGAATAACGAAGTAGAGTTTCTGGATGCTGCCCTGTTACTCTGAGTCTGTATTACATTTTCAGGGAACTTCATATTACCAATTAAGTTGGAATCTGTTTGCTGCTGTTTGTTGAAATATTTCGATAATCGCATTTCAAGCAAAGGTTTTCCTGTTGCTCTTCCCTTCTGCTTTACAAAAGAAACTCTGCTTTCCATTTAAACACCAAAATGCTAAATATCGTGCTACATCAGGAATCCATAAAAACGGTCTTTTTATTTTTATTGCGTATTGCAAACATTTCTTTCTAGCTATTTTTTCGGAAAATATTTTCTATGATAATTGTCGCAAAGTTTTTTTAAGCAAAATGTAGTAACACAGCATGGTTGGTTAAAGCTTGTCATGCAATATTTTAAATAGAAGTTCTCTGATTAATATTAAATATCACAGTTACCATTTTACTTAGGGGGCCGTTATTTCTATTATATAAAAGCACTTTCAATTTATTGTTAATTTATATTTTGAACTTCATTGCGCTTGAAAGCCTTCCCTAAAATTTAGCGTTGAAAGGGTTTATTTTATCACAATTTCTACATTTTCATTCGATTGACTACTTATTTTTGAGACGGAAATTTGACCTCGTGAAAGGAACAATTTTTTGAAGTTCCTTTCACTTTAGAATTTTAACCTGGTTGTGACCTACTGCAATTTGAAGTTAACTAATTTTGGACTTCAATTAAAACAAAAAACAATCTCGATCAACTTTACAGGCTCCAAAATTTGTTTTTCCTTAAATCTTGAGTTACCTATTTCTGGGAATTGTTTTCACTTAACATTTGAGTGTGAGCGCGTTTGCGTTGAATTGGTCAAACTATTGTTCGGACTCTGATCTTGCACATTAGAAGGAGTAGTTTTAGTAATGCCACTGACGAGTATATTTTCTCTGAATTCAGATCTCTTAAAAGGGGTGTAGAGGTCATAAAGGGTTCTAGTTTTTAACTAGTCTGTGCACAACAGAAGTTGGAATAGTTAACCGCACTTACTAATGCATCCTATCAAAGGATTGCTGAACTGCTTCCATCTGCAAAACAATTCTCGTGTGATTTTGGTGGGAATCAAAGTGCATTGCTACTGCACTTTAATGGAAAAAATTAAATTGCTGTTCTTCCATATCTGGGAATGAAATCTCTCCCCTACTGTTTCCCTGACTACCCTAGTTGATGATCAATTTCATAACTTGCTTATATTATAATCATCCATGATTTTTTTAAAAAAAGAGAATGAAGAGAAGCCACCGTTTGAGATTCATGGCTCCTGCTTTCTTTAATTTGGGCCATAGAATACCATAGTAGGCGACCTCAATTATATTTGTGGTAACTATCATCATACCACTGACGACTTAGAATGAGAATGCTCTTGTAATTATTAACAATCTGGGGCAAGACAAATCGAACTTTCTTTTTAAAGAATAGGAACTTCTTATGGTTGATGAGTAGCACTACTGGAGCCTATATGCCATCGATCTACTACTTTTAAGCTCATTAGTATTGGTTGGATCTAATTATCACATCAAAATTATACAACAACTGGAAGAGTAAATTTAAGATAAAGTAGTTTATTTCAACTTGTCAAAATAAAATAGTTAGAACTTCAATTTCAATATTAAATATAAAATGACAATCTCCTGCCTATTTAATTTATAATTTTTTAAATAATCAACGTTGGATATGATCAAAAAAACTTTATTCATAAAAATATTTGCGTAATTTTTCACCGATTTTAATTAATGGGGGAGAGATTTATGCGACTTTGATTCAATTCATCAGGTGTTATTTATTCGGCACGGAAGCCCTGTAATTAACAACTACTCATTGTGTCCTTGCAATTGTCTTTTAGCATGTATAATTAACTGATATGTGGAGTTAAGTGATTCGGCAAGATTTTTGCACAAAAATTATTACTTAAATTGAGATATAAAAGTTCTCCATTACTAAAATTGCTAAATTATTAGATGCCATTGGCTAAAACTTGTGATGGGATGCAAATTTATAAGTTAAAATCGATTTAGTATGTGAATGTAATATCCAAAATTTCACAAGTCAATATTAAGAGGATGGGCCACTCTATTCAACTGAGTTTTTGAACGTACTTCATTCAGTTTATTTTCGAGTAGGGTTCTTGATGGTAAATAATCTACTTTATATCATGGATCACATAGTTCTTTGCTGATGAAATATATATGAGCACTTATACATGATCAGTTTTTAAGCATAAAGTTTTAAATATTACTTTTTAATCAAGATACGCTAATAAGTAGATAAGTTAATTAAAACGAATCCTTTAAGCATTAGTTAAAACCATGATGCATTTTTTGTTGTCCGTGATTTAATCACGGAAGTGCACTGGAAAGAAAAATCCCTAGGGTGGGAGGGGGGGGGGAGAGGGGTTGTCTGGGTTTCATGGACAGTGGTGAACTTTATAATTGCTCGCAAATTTTTTCACCTCGTCACTTACACAATGTTTTCAGTTTGAGAGAGTTGATTTCTCTCCGATATGAACTTGATTAAATGCTTAATTGGACTCTAAACTATGTCCTCCCCAGACAAATAAAAAATCGTAATTTTTCATCGTTGCGCTGTAGAAGTTCTGGCCCAAAAGGAAACAGAGGTAGAAATCAGGTATGCGCGATAGACTTAACTCCACGTGGTGCACCCTGGGCAAAGTATACTCATACGCAAAAAGTCTATTAACCGGCAGTTGACTTCTGACTTCAAACTAACATGACCCCACTGTATGTCATACTCGACCCCTACCACAATACTCATTTTACCTTATCTCTGCCTTTGTGTCTGTCTCTTTTATATCAGCAAATCACTCTTTTGCCCCCCCCCTCTCGACATTTTCTCATTCTGATGTTCCTTCCCCTCTGTGATGCCCGATATCAACAAAAGGACTAATGATAACTATCAAAACGCCTGCCATTTAATATAAAAATAGGTAGAAATCAAAAGCCCTTCCACTTCCGGCCCCTGTATTCATGTTATAAGCCTTTACTTCTAGAACACATAGTTCATTATCCCATGTGCTAACTTGCTTCAATATTCTAGCTGCAGTACTTCCTGGTTACGAACAAGAGTAAGGTGGAGTTTTCTGTCAACAAAAAAAGCTTCATTGGTTTCCCTATGGCTTCTGTATTAGTGATGCTTAAGTGTCATAGAGAAAGCTTGATTAAACGCATTTTAAGTGACTTATCAAATCAAATCAAGTTTTAATTTTTATGTATTAAAGTAAACCTTTGCATAATTGGCCTATTCCTATTCATTGGGATCCGAAGAAAGAGTAAATCATAACTAAAGGAAAACGCACTTAGAGATTGTCCTGCCTATATAACTACGTCACTCCTTATATTATTAATTCAGTTTCCTTTCCCTCTGCATGTGTTCTTGATTTAATGAACTATTTCATACGTATATGTATATTTCGCTTCGATTCCATATGCTGCAAATATTCTTTTCATTTTATTGAAGAGATTTCGTCCTACATCTTCCAATTGCTACACTGTGTAAAATTTGAATTTGATTAAAGTTCATTCGAAGCGCATCAAGAACACTATGCTAATAAAAGTGTCATAAGTTGCTAGTCGCAGTCAAGTGGTAAAAATGGAAAGTACATTTGAATTCAATTTATCTATTTTTTCTTCGATTTTAGCTATTCTGGGATAATTCATTTTACGAAGTGCTGTTAGGACATTTTCTTTGATACGAACGTCGAAATATAACATTTCAAGGCAGGACTTTGTCTTTTGGATAGTAATGGGATGTGACTAAATGTCAAATGTCTACGCAAATTGTCCACTCAATGTCGTTAGTCCACTTGATGGGTTCTGTTGCTTTTGAACCTGCAGACGTCCAGGTTAATCGTTTTATGTGCATTTGAATGCGCTTTTGCCAAAATAGCTTTAAAACTACAGTGACAAGAGCGTTTGTCCTACATTAGCGACGTTGAAGGCTTTAAAAGTCTAGAAATGGATCACTTTCACTCAGCCTACGGTTGAATCGCATTCTTGAAAATGTTTGAAGGTATAAGCTAAAGCCCTAATATTTCCACTGACGCCGTAAAACCTTATTCTCTTCACCACGCTCAGTTGCTCTGCAAATTTGGCCAAGTTTTTCCCATAGAATAAAAAAAGTGGAGTCTAATATCACAATTCATCTTCTGTGTGTCTGGGAGGAAACATAATTCAATTAAGTAGCTTTTTTGTCACTCTTTTAATAGGTCTATTATATCATTGTTTAAAACTTTTGATTCTCATTGAGAAAACTCTCTTTTTAGTGAAAGAAAATATATAAAAATGGGTTTCATGAATAATTTTAGTTAATATCCTCAGTTATATCAGCGAATTTAGTTTGAAAGCAATTGCTCTGTTGTTCAAATGAAGCAAATTTTTATATATTTAAAAATTGTATCTGCTGCTTGTCTGAGTTTACAACCTTTTCGAAGCTCTATTAATGAATATTGTTAAATTTAGATTTAATTAGAATTTATGTCTGCCATATTTCAGCCTTTTCTTCGATGGCTAAATATGATCAGAGTTAATTTTAGAAATATGCATCAATGAATTTTTTCAGCCAAATTTTTATGATCATACACTCAAATTAGAGTACGTTTCTTCCCAACGCTGTAGATGGTGACGTTTCGTATCTATTCTAAATTCAAGCCAAAAACGGAATATCCAACTTACTATTTTCAATTTCAAAATATTTGATCTGAAAAAAGATGAATTTATTTAAAGATTGTCCTTCTGAACTAATTATCTGATTCAAGATAGCTTATATAGGGCTTAAAAAGAGCATACAATTCACAACTAAATTTTCAGAATTAATATCTTCCTTTAAGTTTTAATCGCTACTTCTATTAAAACACTAGTCTCAGAGGGCTTTGTGTTTCTGGCCCATTAAATCTACATTTTTTGACCACATCGGCCATTCTTTTCTATCTTGTAACACTAAGTAGCCTTTGGCAACGTAAAAAACACGCAGTCATTGTTTAATGTTGGTTGCGTTCTTACAGCTGATTTAAATTTCATTGTCAGTCTCCTGAATTAAATTGGATGGACTAGATTATCTCATTTGTGTTAATGAGATTTTTATGATCTATTGATCCAATCACATGAATGGTGCCAGGAATAGATACATAAGATCGATATTGATTCTTGAACAAGGTAGGGCCTGTTGCAGTTTATATAAGTTTAATGTTTAGATTTAAGTTTTGAATTTTTGTTTTACTACATTTTTCAAGGAATCGGAAAGTCTTTCTCTATCCTGCACTTCACCACAGCGGAATATAACCCTGCAAGATCGAGTGCGCGATCTCAAAGTTTCATGGGCTATTTATCCCGACCGATTTCCTGTACAGTCAGAAAATGAAACCCAGGAGACCACCAATCAATTTCTTGCTGGCTTCAAAGACATCCCTCCCGACCTCAAAATACGCATCCAGATCACCTCGAGGCTGCACTTTGGAGGAAACTTTTCACTTTCTCGAAGTGGGTGTAATTTACTATAAATTAAGTATACTTTTTTCAACTAAAGTAATGATTTTGAGAATAGTTTTTCATAGAAAATTGACAAAAATTTGATATTTAATGCCACAATCTTAAAATATTTTCTTTATTTCTGTAACTAAAACACTTTAAAATTTAATGAATAAATTAGCATTGAATTGATTTGCTATATTTTGGTTATTACTGCATAATTGTAGCTCAGTTGACCTTGATTACTTAGCCTCAATTTTTATTGAAAACTATAGCTTTCAATTCTTTTACATTTGCAATTGCCTCACTTTTGCCTTTGTGAATTAATAATCTTTCGCCTCCACGTCTGGAAGGAATTTGTTTAAAGGAACAAAAATTTAAATGCCATTTTTTCAAAATTATCTGAAGCAATTTATCTGACAAATATACAGCTAGGTTCTATTTATCTTAATATATGTTAAGATTTATATCATTATATTAAATTAAAATATGTATATTTTTTGAATCGCAAGTAGTAGGAACTTGTCTCGGAAATAGTGGTGTTTGTAAATAATATTATTATACTGTTTACACTTTACTGATTTATTGTCATTCAATACTTGTGTGTATTATTTAAGTTGGTTATTTGGACCTAAATTGAGAAAAGTTAGCCCTAGAGCCGTTTTTTTCATGCAAACAGGTTTAATTCACTTCACATTTTTTCATTTGAGAAAGTTGTTAATCTGATGATTTTAAGGAATTACGTGGATAATTGTGGTTCATACATGGGCTTGAGCAAATGATTATTTAATCAGAAATATTGGTAGACCAATGAGCAGAGTTCTCTGAACTCAACCTCATCATTCAATTATAAATTATACCAAGGGTAATAGGTTATACAGCTTTATAAATCCATTTATAAGTGACCGAAATCGATAAAAAATCTGAAATTTCAAGCATTTTGCTATATTTTAATTGTGTTTTAGGATTTATAATACATTTTGCTTTATTTGACTGTATGTGTGTGAATGTGCCGGTTTTTACCCAACATTTAATTATCCTTTCATTCCTTTGTTTCAACTTTCTTAATGTTTGAAATGAATGGCAAAAAAATGAAATACTCTGCAAATTGTTGGTCACGTCAAATTTCCATGAATAGTGCTTGACCAAAGCAATTTCCTGATGTAAATGAAACTTTCCTGGTTTCACCATAATAAGATTGAGTGCTGTAAAGCGATTATTTAGTCGTGTTATGAAAAAAGGCATGGTTCAATAATTTTTATGTACTAATATAAAGCAATTGAATCAAGTCACAAACCCTAATAAACGAAGACGTGGGACTATAAAAATTGTCATAAATTGGGGGTGGAAGAAAGCCAAAGTTTAAAGTGATGTCATAAAAAATAACATTTAAAATCTTACATATCTCAGAATATTAAATTTAGTAATAACGATCTGTCTGGTATTAAGGATTCAGAGACTCCTGTCTCAATCTTCGAATACTGATGACACGAGTAATTGCACTTATTTAATATTCACAAAATTGAAAGGAAGTTAGGTTTATTCGATTTTCTGTTTCATTATTCTCTTGCTTTATTTTTGAACGCACCGATTAATGGTGACCTATATTTGCCCTTTTAAAAGTAAATTTTCGAATTGACATGCTTTGACTTATGAACTCCAAGACACTACAAACTGCCTAGAGCATAATGATTCGTCAACGTTTAAATGCTCATAAGCCAATATTATAGATAAATAAAAATTATTAAATTGGCATATTTATATAAAATATAAGCAAATTAAAGTAAAGCATATTTATCGTTGGGAAATGATAGATATTCGACAATTTCTATTTTTTGGAACAATAAACAAAGTTCAAATAATATCGGAATGCATTAAATGAAATTTTATTTGAAAGAACCCCAAAAACTTCCCATCTGAAAAAAAATTTATTGAACATTTACCTGGGTAATTAATAAATCTTTTTTCTGTTACTATTAATTTAGAATTAACAAAGAAATTGCTGCTACAGTGACTTAAGAATAGATCAAAGTTTTTAAAAATCGAAAAATCACAACAATTGAAAATTAAATATCACTCCGTGTAATATAAACGACAGCAAATTAAGTTTTCTCTCATAAATTGGTTATTTTAGCTGAATTTTAATTGGTTCCTTTTTTATTTGACTATAAAGTCCAAATTAATCGTGCGATTTTCTAAAAATATTCTAATCTTTTTCTCCGGTTTTTAATTTAACTTACTTGATGTAATTTTGTGACATTTCATTGATTTCGTCTATTTAAGGTATTAGTAATTTGCTAGCCCAATGTAGAAAAGCATTTATAATTCTCATTCGGTGTAGGGAGTGGCAACACGGAGCCTTCCTGTTGATTTAAGCCGTTTGGCTGCCCAAATCACTCTCTAAATAAATGTATGGTTCATTTTTATAATTAGCAATATCTTGCTAAATTCGAAACAGTTTGCAAATGAGTGGATTTGCAAAAGCACTTGTGAAATTGAAAAATTTAATAATATTTGTTGTTTTCCATGCTCTCGAGATAAATTATCTGTACATTTACAGTTAATTATCGGGTTTCATTAAGTTTCAATTCCTTTAAAGTCTCCATTTATGTTACCTTGGGAAAAAAACGAATTAAATTATAAAACAGACAAGTGGTGAATGCTTACTTTCGATGTACTTTACAAATAAATGTAATGGTCCCTTTAATCTACGTATGAGCTAAGTGGTAATCTTCCCTATTGTAGAATATCTTCGTTCCACCTTTTTCAAAGGCTTGTCATGATGACAAAATCAGAAATACTTTATTTCACGTTTCTTTGACCACCTTCTTTAATTTCTACGCCTCTTGATTGACGCGTGCTCTCTAGTTTTGAGAGAAGAATATTTTTTTTCATGAGTAAGAGGAGTTCTTGCACATAGTGTTCAAAATAACCCCTGAATTAATATAGTTTTATTATTATTTTTTCCTTATTTCTGAGCACTCTTCTCATTATTTGATTTAATCAATAATTGAACATCTTTGTAATTAACGATGGACATTCTTACGCAGTGAACGTCAGGCTATCGTCTTTTCTTGGGGGTGGCAATGCGATAAAACTTTCGAATCATAACTCTTTCGTGTTGTATCACACAAACACAATTTCCCCTTCCTTTCTGATTTCTTATCATCAGCCCCGCAATTTGGTTCGTAACTTCAGGGCGAGTGATTACTTAAATGCATGAGATAATTGCGACGTTTACAGCAACGTGACGTCATAGATATTTTGATAGGTGAATTATGTGGTAATTAAAAATGACTAAAATATTTATATCGCGCTTGTGGTTTTTACTTCATTTTTTAATAAAATGAGATTATTTTACAGTCTATACTTCCAAGATCATAAATTAGGGCGCAACGAAATGCGTTTTGTCTTTGCACCAAATAATCGCTTTTTAACTTGTCTCTTCGCATAATAACGCACAAAATTTTAACTGGGCTTAGTTTGAAAGTTTCGAATCATTTCGTTTTTCACATATGAATTAATTCTCGTTAGGCTATATAGACACTATATTTTATTAAAATTGCGCGCTTGTTTACTATTGCACTTGAAATTGCCAGTTGTTCATTGCTCCTGCGCGTCCATTTCTTTGAAAAAAATAATTTTTTAAAAAATAATAAGTAAAAAAAGCATGCAAGTTATTATTTACATGGATGATTGGTAACTAGGAGTTGCCAATTTTGAAATTTTTAGCCCAATTTTTATTCTTTTCATTTTAGCTGTATCATTTACCTTTGTCTAGTTGAAGAGTAAACAAAGGATAGCGTCTATTTCCTATTTACAAGGATAATTATTTCAAATGCATTATGTGTTGTTGAATTTTAAGGCGGTTAATAAATGACGCCGAAGTGAATGCCAGAACTTAAAGTGTTTTAGTTCTAGATCGAAGTACCATTTTCATCTGTTTCCTTTGAGCTTGTTTCTATGAAATACATGTCAATTCTTTCCACGACGAACACTTTATACGGAACATCGGATGTGAATCTGACTGGGTGTCGATGGCGAAATATTTATAATCACGGTTGCTCTTATAAAACTGATGTCAATCTTTAAACAGTTATTTTATTCAATTATTTTTAAATGAAAGCAATAAAATAAGTCTGTTTATCATTGTGTACTATTTATGATAAATTCAAACTTCTCAGTGCGTACCTTTTAAATTTATTTGAAATCCCCCAACTCCTCGTCGACTTCAATGCCCCACTTGAAGCGTTTTGCTCACATTCATATATGTACAGAAATGAACATGCCACTCACAGTTAATTGACATTTATTAATCTTGGTAACTATAGATTGATTTTTCAAAATCACAGGAATTTCTTACAGCATCACGAATTTTATTTGAGCAGTATTATTTTTTGTGATTTTGCACAAAATTCTGAAATTATATTACAAACCTCAAAAGCCATCAGATAAGTTATTTCCAAACGGTTTTTTTTGGATTTTTACAACTTTAATTTCCTTCTATGAAGCCATTATGAGCCATTTTGGGCAATTTCAAGTTTCTTCAATATATATATCAATGGAAAAATAATTAATAAAAAGAATTAATTTGACGAAATAAAAGAATTATTCATTGTATTGTTGAAAAGATATGACAGTTATATATTTCCGGTTTGGACTCTGGAATATTGAAAGTGAGGATGCATTACCTCCGCCATATAAAAGCAAATGCTTTTAATTTATTGACTTTAGTTACGACAGCCAACGCAGTAACACTCCGCTTCAGCTCATTCTTTGTCTAAAATTAAGTAAATAATCAATATTGAGCGATGGTTATGCATTTAAATTTCAGCTAATTACTACAATTGCCTATTTGATAGAATGAAATTATTTAGATTTGCACATTACATGAATAAGGTGACCTGGATGTAGTGCTTACTGGAATCTATTTTATCAGATGGAAATACAATAAATTTTTTTTCAATTTAATGAACTCAGTTGGGGAAGTAACTAAAAGGCTGTATTAATTAGGGTAGAATGTAGTGGGAACACTAAAAATTGCGATGAGGGGTAACATATATGAGAAGTAAGGTTTGAATACAGTAGCGTCATATTCAGTGGATTGAGACCGGAAATTGGGTCGACAACTTACTCAGTAGTTTTGTTGTCTCATTAAAATATCGAAAAATGTCCGGATGGTAGAATTACCAAACTCGTTTTTTTGCAACATTTGGTCAATATTTCTTTTCTAGAACGGCAACTGTGCGAGCTCTATGGATACTGGTGTAATGGAGATTCCACCGATAATGGTAGTGATTCCCGTCGTCGTTATAAGCGTCTTGATGGTGGAGGCAGGGAAATCGGAACGTGTATTCGGTCCTCAATGCGATGTGACGGCTTGCCTGACTGTTGGTTAGACGATCCTACAAATTCTCCAGATGAAGTGGGCTGCAATACTAGACCTCCAAATGATCCAAAAGAACCCTTTCCATCTACTGAATATTTCAACAACATAAGTGCTTCTGTCTCACGTAAGCACTATCTCCTCAGGCATTAAACCGATATTAGTGTAAAGGCAAGCTTGTTGCTCAATTTCCAAATTATTTGCACTTTGAGCTTTTACTTCAATGAATATACGGTTAAAAATCGCCATTGATAGTTACGATTTTGCCTCTTTTAGCTCAAAGCAATCGTGGTGAATTTGTTTATTCAAAGGATTTTGAATAGTGCTCGCTGCCTAGAAATATAGACTTGCATTACAATTTAGTGCACATTAAAATACCGAAAAATGTAATGTTAATGTAAGTTATTTGGATGGAAAGCAACTAGGAGATTTTGATGCTCTATAATTCTGTCTGCTTTGGGAGGCCATGAGTGGTTTAATTTTTGTTTCGCTAATTTTCGCTGGTATCGTGTGCCTGTCGTTAGAAGTGCGATATCGTTCACAAATTATATGGAGCAACAAAACGGATGTGATAATTAAATCAGACATTGGAGAAGTTTTCCCTCTGATGCATTAATTTCTTGTTATTATTTTCTGGAATATATAAAAGCACTACGTGACCAAACAAAGATAACAATCAGTACATTGTTGTTATCATTTATTTTAATTGAAGCTGTGTGGAGCTTAAATCATTCATTCAATTACCTCGTGAAAAGCTATGTCTATTGTGCATTCGACTTTTTTCCTTCTAATTGCGAAACACAATTTCGATAATCCAAACCCAAAGGGAATTGGTCCGAGATATTTTTTGGAGTAGTTGATGTTGCTGTTTAGACATATGAATCATATCGTGATCGCCGATTAATTGGTAATAGGAAAAAATGACGAAGAATAACAACAAAATAAAGTTCTACAAGGAGAACACACAGCGCTGTATAATTAAAAATATTTCAAAAAGCCTGATGAGAACTTGGGAGAGTAATTGAGAGCTGAGGGATAGGGGTGGGGTGGTGGGAGGGGAGGGGAGTTGGGAAATCCCGTAAATGGTGGTAGTGGGCGTGCATAAAATGGACTTCATATAACTTCGGTGAAAAGGAGTATGAGAAAAGAATAGACTAGTATGGATCATTACTGAGCAAGGAAACTTAACCCTAATAGCACTTAGTAGAGATTATTCCACGAATAAAATAAAAACCTGAAGACACAAGGTGATTCGCAAGGAGAAGTTTCAAATACTTTTAGTGCCTCAGCGAGGTTGGATTCATTGGGTTTCAGGGAGTAGTTTGAGAATCATGAAGCAATGCTGTTTTCAGCGTCCCTTGTTTAAACTCGAAATCACTTGTGAAATGAATTTAAAAATGGCATGTCAATTCGAATTTTTTTAGACCATGGAGTGAGTAGAAACATTGTCATGAAAGGTGAAATTCGAACAAAAACTACGATTTCGCAACAATAGTAATTATCAATTTAAAATGATCATAAAAGTTTTCATTAATTCAATGAAATACTATAGCTTCGTTTGTATCTAAGAGCGTATTTTTTTAGCTACACCACCCGTTCGCGTGCCCTCTTGGACTTCCAAGTTACCATGGATGGGTAAGTTCCTTTTTAAAATCGCTTTTGCTCGAACCGCCCTCTAGTTTATACAACTGTTATTGTTTAAGTACATTAAAATGAAAAATATTTCACGATTTTGAAAATATAAAATTAATTATTTAAATTTCATGGTAATTTTCTTTATAAAATACTATTCTTCTCCCCATTTTTATATCTTCTTACCCAAACAAATATGAGATTAATATCATTTTGGTGGGTTGGAATTCCCAATGGTTTTTAAGCCTAATACCAATACTGTGTTTTTTCACAATTTCCCTATAATGAATTCTTTGTCACATAATTGCAAAATAGTTTTTTTCTTTGCGTGCGACTGCATTTTAAAACTTAATTAATTTGAAATTAAAATCTGACTCTTATAAAGTTGAGCTTAATTCCGAAAATTTAAACAAATTATCAATATCTTGACAATTGTAGGCTAGTTTTAATAATTTCAAATACTGTATAAGGCTTTCCTTATAGACTATGTCAAAATCGACTTTGCAGTATGCAAAAACGCGGTTCAGGCAAATTGATATTAATTTCATGGAAGAAAGATCATATGCTCAAGGTAATTTCATTTCAAAGTGTTTTAGGTTTGAATTATGCAGTCATTTAATATTCATATGAAATTATCTCCTCCCTGATAGACACTTTTATAGGATTTTACATTTTTTATACCGAAATATTTTGTTTATTGTTGTGAACACAAGATTTTTAATGTTTGCCTTTCGCTATTTCATAAGAGTCTCAATAAAAAGTGGGATTAATTTATGATTTTCCTTTGAAATATTCAACTTCATTAAAATAAGCGCTTGAGATTTGGCGCTTTTCTTTCTAGGATATTCAAAAACAAAATGTATTTTTTTCGTATAATTTATTATATTGTGCTAGAATTTCCTATTATTAAAGCGAATCGCCATAACAGGTTATTTCTAATTGAATGAAGAATGCTAAAATTTATAAGATAGAAAAAGAACATAATTTAAGGAAAAATAGCATTAATTCATTTCACTCCCAGAAAGGAAATGAAAACATAAAATTTGTCAAAATAATTTTTCTTTTTCCAAGCCCTACAACCGATAGAATATAACTGTGTACGTTACATTCACTAGGCTTTGTCATACTAAAATGGATATATATATATATATATATATA